TCATTCTACGTATAATTACAAAACTTTTTTTTTTTCGTTTGTAAGCAATTTAACTTAATAAAATAAAAAAAAGAATAAATATAAGGTAATCTTTGTTAAGAATAAATTTAATTTATTTATTGAACTATGTTTTTATTTTTAATTATATATATAGGTAATCTTTGTTAAGAAAAAATTTAATTTATTTATTGAACTATATTTTTATTTTTAATTATATATCAACTTAATTAAAATATAGTAACATGTTAAAATATTTTAACATGACTTGTGTTATTTATAAACCGTTGGGCAGTTGCCTTTACGGCACCATTATTTTTGGATAATATTTTATTTTGATGAAGATCACATAACTTACATTTGATTTTAATAACGTAAGTCTTCTCTTTTTCTGTGATCATCACATCGGCAAAGCATCGGCAAAGTCCCAAGATTTAAAAGTTTTTAAAGTAAATCTTTTGTCCTTCAAAATATAATCCATATTCGAACTTTAAACAATTTAGAGATAATAGAAATATACAAGGTTTTTATATACTAGTTTGTTTTGTTTTATAAAGAAAAATACATATTCATAAGTAAAAAATGGAGACTGTCATTAAACTAAAACGTGCCTTAGTATTTATTTAACGGAACCTGTAATGTGCGCGTGCATAATAAAACCTCCGTTATATAAATATATTCAACGTAATATTAGTGTCATCAGCGGATGTTGTAGTCTATTCATGATTTCTTTACCTTATAATATAACTTGATTTATGAAAAAAAAACTTATTGAATCGCACGCAGAAGAATTTTAACAAATTGTCTTTATTCAAATATTGCGAGTAACAGGTAATTTTTTTTATCTGTGCTGCCCCCCTCCCCCCGCATAACTTAAACTATATACCTTTAACTAATAAGAAAAGCAAAGACATTTTTTTTAACATCTCAAAAAAATGTCTTGATATTTTTGTTATCATGATAACAAAAATATTAAGACATTTTTTGAGATTTTATTTAAAAAAATGTCAATTCTTAATTAAAAATTTTTTTGCAAATGTTTTTTATTATAAATTCAGTAAAAAATTCATAAAAAATCTTTATTACAAAAAACTTTTATATTCTGTATTAATAAATATGGAATATAGATTTTTTAAGTTTTTTACTAAAAGCTTTAAAAAATTACTACTTTTTATTGAAAACATTGCAAAAAATTTGTAGTTAAGGATTGACAAACAATTTTTCATGTTGCTAAATATTTGGATAAAAAGTTTAGCGTCAAATTAATTGCTATAAAAAGGAAAGATATATCGCGATGAAAAGTTACAACAATTATTTTTAAAGTAAATTCTTTTTTTAAATAAATATCTTTACATATCGTTATTTAAAAGTTAATGTGGTTTTTTTGAAAATTAATTACTTCTTTTATGTTACCGCTAATTTAAAAGTTAAAAAATGATAAAAAGTAGCTTAACCAAAACAGCTCAACGCGTACGTAAAAAGCGCTAAAGGCGTGCGTAAATCGCTCTAGGCGTAACGCTTTAAAACAAGGCCTGAAATTGCTACTAATGATTGTTTAATAAATGAACAAATTTTATCAAATTTATTAAAAAGTGTTGTATATAATATTTTTAAATTGTATAAATATTTTTTCAAAAAAGTTAAAAAAAAAAAATTGTTTAAAAAATTAACAAAGTCTTTTTAAAATTGCAATTTTAAATAATTTCATGCTCTAATTAATGTCTAGTTCAAGAAAAAGGTTTTCTTATTCGTATAAATAGGAAAATAATAAATAAAACGTGCCTGCGATTTAAATAAAATAAAATAAACTGCCAACAAGCAATTTAATTTAATTTTAATTTGAGCATTGCAACTTTATTAATAAGCGCTTCACATAACGAATTTAAAAATTATTATAAAATATTTAAATTCATTCATTTCTATCGTAATTGAAATAAAAAAAAATTTAAAAAAATAAAAAGTTTGTTTATAATTTTAAAAAATCGCAAGTTTAATTATAAAAGATTAATTGTATGAACATTACATAATGCTTCAAAACTTTTCCATTAATCAACAAAATACATGCTTATACAAGTAAATAAATTTATTTTATATTTTTGTATGATTCACATCTATAAAAGTTTGTTATTTATTAATTAAAGTAACTTGAAAAAAATTCTTTTTAAAAATAATGATTTAAAAGATTTTTAGGAAGATATGGAAAAATAGTTTTAAACGTTTAAATTTATCATAAAAAACATGCCTTCTTAAAAAAAATTATATATAACATTTTTTTATTAATTTACACATGCATTTATGTAAACAATCATCATAATTAATGTTTTATTTAAAACTTTAATAGATCAACAATTAAAAGTTATTCATAACGTAACATTTTATTGCATTCAAATTGTTAAAGCACGCTATTATATTTTTTTCTTTACAACTTGACCACAGCAATAGCCGTGGTCTAGTTGTAAATTTAATTTACATTAACGATCTTCCAGCTTTCTCACATCTAAGGTGGCATTGTTCGCTGATGATATTAACATTTATTCTTGTTATGATAAGAAGCCAAAACTCTCTGATTGGTTGGAGGAGGTATTTGAGCTTGAAAAAGATCTCACTTCTGCTACAGCATGGGGCTTACAGTGGCTGGTGAACTTTAATTCAAATAAAATCCAATTTTTTTAAGCCATTCGTTATCGCAATAATTTAGATCATCCTTTATTTATGAATGGTAATGTACTCGATTAGTCATCTACCCTTCATCTTCTTGGATAAACTCTTACTTTAGATCTTTTTTGGAAACCATATATCAAATCCATTGCAAAGTTAGCATTAATTACATTAAATCCATTACTAAGCTTGCATCTCTTTAGCAAACTCGACACTTTCTTACTAAGGATTCTATTCTTTATGTCTATAAATCTTAAATTTGTCCTTGTATGAAATACTGTTGCCATATTAGGGGAGGATCTTCTAATGATGCCCTTTCTCTTTTAGATAAGGTGCAAAAACACATTGTAAACATAGTTTGACCTGCTCTTACAACCAACCTCCAACCATTATCACATGGTCATAATGTTGCTTCTCTTTCTCTTTTCTAGAAATACTATGATGGGCACTGCTCTAAAGACCTAGCATCTCTTGTGTCATCTACTAAAATTCATTATTGTGTTACTCATCATTCAATTAAGTCTCATCCTTTTTCTGTGACTGTTCCTAAGTGCTCCAAAAACTCTTATTTGTCTAGTTTTTTTCCTTGAACATCAGTTCTTTAACATTCGCTTCCTTTATCTTGCTTTCCATATTCATATAATTTGCTATCTTTAAAGTCGTCTGTCAATCGTTATCTCGTTCTACAACTTTTATCTCTTCCAGTAACTTTCAACACTAATAAGTGGTTGCTTGCAACCTTGCAGCCTGCAGCCTTGGAAGCGAAGAAAAAATTCTTTTACCTATTTAATACTTTTTAACTTTTAAATTATTCTAAAAAATTAACTATAAATTTAACTTAAAAACTTTAAATTTATTTATAAGTGATAAGAAAAAATAAGTAATTAATTTTATAAAAAACCATTTTAACTTTTGAATGACAATTATCTAAAAAAAGTTGGAACAAAAGCTTGAATGACAATTATGTTAGATATAAGCGCTATTTACAAATGAAAAAAACTAAAATTAAATTAAAAACTACGAAAACTTAATCTCTATTAAATTTTTTTATCTTAAAATAATTTTTTATCTTAAAATAAACTCTATTATTTTATCGAAATCAGCAGAAAAGCAGCACAAAATTGTTTATAGTTAACAACAATTTTTTTTTGTATACAAAGTTATTAAACAATATATATATATATATATATATATATATATATATATATATATATATATATATATATATATATATATATATATATATATATATATATATATATATATATATATATATGTATAAACAAAAGTATTTACAATTAAACACAAGAAAGAAGTATTTACAATTAAACACAAGAACAAAAGTTATTTTTATAATTATGATAAAATAAATATTCAAAGGGATCCCAAACTGCCGAAACAAGTTGTATTCATATTAAAAGAAAATGTTTAAAAAAAAAACATTTCGGCTAATTTTTTTTAATTAAAACTATATAATGAATGCACACCATTAAATTTGAAATTCATGTTTTAGTTGAAGCTCGCCGTCTCCATTTTTTTTTAGTTTTCGAAGTTTGTATAACGTTAGCTGCAATCTGCAGACTTGATAATTTATTCCATGCATGTTTAATTCATAACAGTTTTGGTATATGACGTCAGCGTATAAATTTTTTCTTTTAAGATGTCGTATTATTTTTTTGCCAAAATCACCAAATCATATTATTTTTATAACTTTGCACTAAATCCCCAAAAAAGTTCTACAACAACATTGTAATAATAGAAAATTTATAAATATAAATACATATATATATATATATATATATATATATATATATATATATATATATATATATATATATATATATATATATATATATATATATATATATATATATATATATGTATATATATATATATATATATATATATGTATAATTTTTTACTGTCACAAATATTTTTTGTGATTTAGTAAAAAATTATACAAATATTTGATTTTCTGATTGTAGTAGAAAAAATACTTATATCTTTAAAAAAACAACAACAAAAAAACGCTATCTTAAAAAGATATTGTGATGACGTCTTATAACAAAACTGTTATGAATTAAACACGCATTGAAAAAATTATCAAGTTTGCAGATTGCGGCTAACATTATACAGACCCTAACAACAACAAAAAAATGGAGACGACAAGCTTCAACTAAAATGATAATTTTAATTTTGTTGGTATGCATTCATTATTTAGTTTCAATTAAAAAAATTGAGCCCAAATGTTTTTTTTTAACATTTTCTCTAATATGAACACAACTTGTTTCGACCGTTGGGGATCCCTTTAAAATAATTTAATGAACTAAATAAATTAATCTTACCTTCACTAAACAGATTTTCAGAGTCGTATCCTATAATAGGGAGTTGATTTTGTTTTTCTTCTCTTGTTGAAAACTTAAGGATAATATATATGCAAATGAAAGAGAAAACAATGGAAAGCAAAACAGGCTTCAACTTCCATTGCAAAGCTTTTGACATCTCATAAAGATAAATTGGACATCTTATATAGATGAATCAGACATCCCATAAAGAAAAGCCAGTCATTTCATTAAAATATTTTTATATTTTAGTTTTATTCTAAATTTAAAAGATATTAATGCAGAAAAATGCCAACATTTAAAATAAATAAAAAAAATTAATTTTTTCTTTTCAAACATTCAAAGAAATTTTTTAAAATAATAATATTAATAATAATAATAACATAGAGGAAAACATATGTGATAAATTTTATAAAGTGACTTTAAGAATAAATAAAAAACCTTTAAAATAACAAAAAGTGTTTAGAAATTTTAAAAAGTGTTTAGAGATTATTTTCACAACTTTTTTATTTATGAGCTTGATTTAGAGACTAATTATAAAGAAAACAAACAAAAAAGATACTTAGTGATAATATATGTCTAATTTATTGATGAATATACATTGTCTACTTAGATATGTATGAAACACACTTAAATATGGTTAAAACACTGTCACACTACAACAACAAAATGCATATGTGAGAGCAGGCGTGGTGGAAGGGCTTATATGCATTAGGGGTGTTCAAAAAAATAAAATTTTCAAAATGCAAATACACAAGAAGCTAAATTTGGGGCAAATATTAAAAAAATAAAAAATATAAAATAATTTTTTTTTTTTTGCATAATTAAGTTAGTATTTATTGCTGTAACTGGATTGGCCAGTGAGCATGCTTTTAAGCACACTGTGATAGGCCCTTTAATCAATTGTTGTTCCTCCAACAACCCTGCTTTAAAGGAGTTTACAAACGATGATTTGACTAGTTTCAAAGGCAATGAGTTCTATAAGTTTGCCGATATATTGTAAAAGAAATTATGCCTTAGCAGATTTTTTGTTTCTCTATAATATTTGAAAGAGTGACCTCTAATATGATTTTGAACAGTTAGTATGTTATGTTCTGTGTTATTAATATTGTTCATTATTTTAAATAGTTAGATCACACCACCTCTTTCTTTTCGTTTAGTTAGAATTGTTGATTTCAAAACTTTTAATCGATCTTCGTAACTGAAACACCTAATTGATTTAATCAGTTTGGTGGCTTGACACGGAACTTTTTCAATTATTTTACAGTCACCTTTTTAATACGAGGACCATACTGGTACTGAGAACTCTAGAAAAAGACGAATAAAGGTTACATATAGTGATTTAATTAAATGACAGTCCAATCTTGCAAATGATTTTTAAATTCAACCTAACATTCTATTAGCATTATTTGTCACATAAATAACTTGATCTTTCCACTTGAGATTTTTAGAAAATATTACACCTAGATCTTTTACGCTGTTTGATTCTGGTAGTTTTATGCCGTTAATAAATAGAGGACTCTTTATTGTTCACTCCATAGTGCATTACTACGTATTTGTCAATATTAAACTTGAAAAGTCAGTCTTCTGTCTATTTAAATGATATATTTAAATTCCTCTATAGACTTTAAGTAGACTCATCTGAAATTACCTTGAACAAAATCTTGATATCATCAGCAAACAATTAGCATTTATTCATTAATTTACTTAATAGATAATTAATGTATATAATAAACATAAAGGGTCCAATAACAGAGCCTTGTAGCACACCACTTAAAATTTCAACCCATTTAGAAACAATTTCACCCAGAACTATTCTTTGTCTTCTATAATTTAGAAAAGCTTCATAACTAAGCCATTAATACCATACTAGCAGTAAGCAACCCGTAATACAGGTTGTTTGTAAATAAAATTAAAAAAAAAAAACGCATATAGAAAAGTCTAGAAACTACTTTAAAATAGAAAAGCCTAGAAAATGATGTAAGTCGACTATTACTACTATTAAATTAGCGTATTAATATTATCAGATGCATTCAATTTAGCAAAAAGTCTCTTGTTAGGAACACCATCAAAAGCTTCAGCAAAACCTTTTACAAAACCATACTGTTGGATTGTTAGTAAATTGTTTTTGTAAAGATTTTTTTTTAAATTCTTTTTCTTATAATAGATTTTAATATTTTGCAAAGAATAGAAGTTAATGAAATAGGGTGATAATTGCTAACCACTGTTTTGTCACCTTTTTTATATATCATTGTTACATTTGCTGACTTGAACTGGATTGGCAGTTGACTGATATATCATCAGTTGACTTTTATATCATTGTTACATTTGCTGACTTGAACTGGATTGGTAGTTATTCTCTAAATATAAGAGTTAGTGGAAAAGTAAACGATATAGCACAATTCTTGAGGACTATTGAACAATGTTTATCAGCTCCAGGTGATTTATTGTCTTTTAGTGATTTAAATTTAGATTAAACTCAAAGCTAATTTCATCAGGTTCAATAACTTCAAATTTAATCAAATCATTTAAATCTAGATAAAAAGGTGGAAGATCTCCTTTTTCTTTAATAGTAAAAACATCATGAAAATGTTTATTTAGGCAGTTTACAATTTTATTTGGTTCAAGGGATAAACCACCATTAGGCATTCTCATGGCCTTTACTGAATCTTTCATTGAATTTGTACTGTTTAATTACTTATATAGCAGTTTAGTATTAAGTTTAGAGGTTAAAATGCTTGACTTTTATTTAGAGGCTATATAAAAGTCAAGCATTGTATATTTCTGTTTTAACTAATTTGCATAACTGCTTATATTCTTTGGTAAGTTTAACAACATTCCATCTGTGAGCACAATTAATGTATTTTAAACTTCTTTTTCTTCTTATTAATTGCTTGGTTTCATTATTAATCCAAGGAGTTGTCGAGCTTTTGATTAGTGAAATGTCTATGGTTGGAACAAACAAATTGCATGCTTCAGTGGTATAGTAAATTAATTCGCTGTACATGTCTTGCACTGCCTTGTTTTTGTACAATTTCATCCAATTGTATTAGATATAAAATCAGAAATTTTAACAAATTTAGCTGTGCTATACAAAAATTAAAGTTACCTTAACACGCTCACGCCGGCATGTACCACCGGTGGTACACACTAGACTGTCTCATTGGGCAGCGTGTACCACTGGTGGTACACACTAGACTGTCTCATTGGACGGCGTGTACCACCGGTGGTACACGCCGCCCAATGAGACAATCTAGTGTGTACCACCAGTGGTACACGCTGCCCAATGAGACAGTCTCATTGGGCGGCGTGTACTACCGGTGGTACACGCTGCCCAATGAGACAGTCTAGTGTGTACCACCGGTGGTACACGCCGATGTGAACGTGTTAAAGCATCTTTATCACTTGTTATGCTTCCAGGTAATAAAGGTGCTTTAAGTACAATTTTGATTCTTTTTTAACTTTTGTAATTGGTTACCACAAATGCCATATTGAAATGTAGAGTTTGTTTCAAGATTTGCATCAACCTGTTTCTTTCTTGTCTTAGCTGGAGATCGAGTTGTCTTTCGGCTTCAGTTAGATCTGGACTTATATAATCTGTTTATAATCAATGCTGTTTCATAATTTTTTTGCTGCTAAAAGAACTGGATTTCTGAAAGATGGTTCATTCAGTTTAACTAAAATTGGACCAGGCTTTGTTTTGTCTTTTGATCTAATTCTTTTGGTATAAACTGGTTTAATATCTGCTTTGCCAATAAAATCAAAAACATCTTTTTTTCATCTTTATTTCTCTTAATTGAAAGATCTGTTTGAGTTGATTGAAAAACAATTAAATTTCTTTTTCTCTTCTCTCTATTGTGCAGCTCATTTATGGTTGCATTAGCAACCACTAGTTGTTCAGGTGGCTTTTTACCGCTTTTGCTTCCTTTTGTAACAATTTGAACCTATTCGTTGCCAATATTGGCTGAATTTACATTTTGTTTTGATTTACTTAAGTCATCTTTCAGGGTGTCCATGATTTTCAAATTATTTTCTTTATCCTCAAAATCTTTTATTTTGTTTGATAGTTCTAAGACATACTTGGAAATTTTACTGCACCACTTATGTAACAGTTTTGGCAGGCAATCGATTACCATGTCTAAAAGATGACCAGTATACTTGGATTAAGAAATTGCTTTCCATTTCCATTCTCTATCTATACATTCATATTAACACAAATAGGACTATTAGTTTTTGTGTTTTTTTTCCGACAGGGTTGTTTTTGCAACAAAAAAATACAATTTTTTTTTACATATTTGCACAAAATTATTTTTTTGCTAAATCTTTTTTTAATTTAAACAATGAAAAAACTAGGATACAAAACAATCTAAAAATAAACTTTAGACCATTATGATCACATAAGAAAAAGTTTTACAAAATATTGAGATTTACCTTGCGCTCAAAGCCAAATAATTTAGAAACAACTTGGGTCATTTTTCCGGGTATTTTGACCCTTGAGAACAAGGTTAATGTCAATATTTTTGGAGTTTTTTTTTGTAATCATATTTTTTTTATATTGGCCTCAAATTTAGCTTTTTGTGTACTCAGGTTTTGAAAGTTTTATTTTTTTGAACATCCCTAATATGCATGCATCAACTGAAGGTTTGTATCTACACATAAAGGAAATCTATTATGGCAAAAAAAATAATTTTAAATTGGTTTTTTTTCCATTTCAGAAAATCTATATTAAAGAGTTTATTTCAAAACTTTAGGATCATAAAATACATTAGCACTTTGCAATTCTAAATATGTATACACCTTGTACGCACTTGTTTTATAAACATATATAATACTTTTAAGAAATGATAACCTGATAAATTGATGAGATGTACTCTATATTTTTATGCTCATTTATACCATGGCATTAATTAATTAATTTAGAGAAGAAAAAAAAGCGATGAAAAAATTAAGGGAGCAATTAACTCATTTCAATTATTTAAAATAAAGTTTAAACGCACTTTGATTAGAAAACTTGTAACACTTGATTATTGAGATATTTTATTGAGGTCTTTTGCATTTTCATCATTCAACAGCCTGTTAACGTTATGATATTTCATTTAGGTCCCTATATTTATTTTATTTTAAATAAAAACTGCAACTACAATTTGATTCGAAACTCAGTGATTTTTAACAGATCGAAATTTGTCAAAACATCATATTTTCATGGGTAAAAGATCTGTTTCATCGAAAACAAAATGGAAAGTCATTGGAACACATAAGATAAAAATGAGCAATAGAGAAATTGTCAGATGCTTAAAGATTTTTGAATTCAGCATTCATGCAACAACAAAAAAATACTTATCGACTAGTAGTGTCTATAATAAACCTCATATTAGGCATCTAAAAATCTGACAGCACACAATGAAAACATATTTTTCACTCTACGCAGAAACAACTCAAAAGCAGGAATTAAATATCAGCTTCAACTGCAAATAGTTTGCTGGTAGACAAAACATTCAAACGACAATAAGCAAGGTTCTATGCAAGAAAAAACCAAATTCATTTTATGGTGTAAGAAAGCCACTATTGATGTTAACTGATGGCCAACGACAAAAAAAATGGTGCAAAATGCGTTTAAATTATTCAGTGGAATTAAGGAAAATGCAATTAGTTGAATTTAGCAATTAGTCGAATTTTGAAATTATTAACAGAAAAAATGACATTTGTTTGTCCCAAAAATGCAGAAAAAAATTTGAAGCAACACCTTTTAAATTGTATTCAAAAAAATAGCGGTTCCGTCAGCATATGGGATGCATATCAGGTTCAGGTGTTGGCTGTCATAAAATATACAAAAGAAGACTACACAAGTATGAGTATCATGATATTTTAGAAAATGTGCTTATCCCTAGTTCCGATTTGTTCCAGGCTGATCAAAACTGATTATTTCAACAAGACAATGCTTTATATCATACTCTAGCTCCATGACTTCATCCTACCCCATGCCATGCTCAAGCACATTCAATCACTGATTATTTCCTTGAAAGTAATATTTGACTCATTCCTTGGCCAACATGATCACCTGACTTAACCCATATTTAAAAAATAAATAAAACTGAATGGATTATAAACAAAAAAGAAAATAACTAGTCATGAAATGCTAACAAGAACCAAACTGTGGCTCGACCAATCAATATGATTAAAACAAAATCAAAGTGAATACGAGCATGTATTAAAAATAATGGGAGCTAATTCTGTATTAATATATTTCAATTTAAAAGAAATTGTAGGTACGCCTAGATTTTATTTTATTTTTTCCTCAGTAATTTTTTAATAAATTTTATTATAGTTTAATGATTCAGAAAAGATATTTTTTCATCCAAAGTATTTTTATTTATCATCATAAGTATTTTTTCATCCAAAGCTGTGTGTTTTTTTTTTTTAAATCAACAATCAGCTAAGAAAAAAAACAACCTGGACCCTGTCTCGTGTTTACCTTTAGTCTTAAAAAAAAAAGTGTGTTTAAACTTTCTGTATAAGGTTTGTATACCGAAAATATGTAGGTGTATAAATAAATAAATAAATATATTTATTTATAATACATATTTTATAAATCTACATATTTTTGGTATATAAACCTTAGGCGTTTCAGCTTTGTAGACAAAAAAGTCAACCAATTGCATGTACTTTGATATTTATGATGTACTTTGATATTTATGTTCATTTTGACCAATAAAACAAAACTATGAAGTATTATTACAATCACAAAACATTTAGAACTGCCTCAAGGGACCTAAAGTTTGCAGATTTTTCATTTTTAAGCTTGATTTTTAATATATTTACTTTTGTACTTTTTTCCAAGAGCTAATTAATCATTATTATTATTACATGCAAAGAATTTGTATTTAGTATTTATTTACATACATACTTATTTATTAGTAACCAAAGATCATAGATCACAAATAAAAACAAAACAAAATGGTGGAATCTTGACTGCATACTGCAATGTTAAAACAAATTTAAAATTAATGAAAAAATGCAAAACATTTTTTTATTTACTTACTTATAGTTACCAAAGATTAGATTATAGAACTAATGACAGCAATAATGTCTGAAACAAGATCAAAAAGTTACATTTATTTGATTGGGGAACCAGAACCACATTTTAGTGGCAGTTTTGCCCACAAGTTTTGAAGTTTTAAGAATATATTTTTTCCATTGTAAATTCAAACTCTAAAAGATGCCATAAAAACTGTAGTCCAGCAATTGTGTGAGATCTGGGCCAAAGCTAGAATTCCAACTGCTGAACATGTAAAACTGAAACTTTATTGGAAAGATACAGAAATATTTTAAAGAACAAGAGTCGTGGTGGGCTACCCCAGCAGGTAAAAGAAGGTTTTTTAAACTCAGTAAATTGTCTTTTTTGATATTGCTCACCATTATGCATTCATCTAGTGATGAAGACTATATGGTTTAACAACAACAATTTTGTTGAGGAACATTGCCAGGAGATCTCCATCAACTTTTAAATGTGCAAATAAATCTGCTTTAGATGTTATTCCTTCAACACTTGCATCTGCACTTGATCGTACAAATGTAAGTGACATATATATATATATATATATATATATATATATATATATATATATATATATATATATATATATATATATATATATATATATATATATATATATATATATATATATATATATATATATATATATATATATATATATATATATATATGTCACTTACATTTGTACGATCAAGTGCAGATGCAAGTGCTGAAGGAATAACATCTAAAGCAGATTTATATGATATATATATATATATATATATATATATATATATATATATATATATATATTCATTTACTTACAAAAATGATTATTTACAGAAATATAACTATATTAAACCTAACCCTGCTCCAGCCCAAACCCTCAGTCGATGTAGCAGTACCGACTTGCATGTTCAACCAACTTGTAAGTCGACCCATGTACTTTTCACTTTTCGTAAAAGTTATTTATGGAGAGTGTTTTTTCGAAAAATAAACATATACTTACAAAGAAAAAACATTAACTGGTAAATAAAAATGTCAAAGCTAATTTTTTTAACCCCGTAAGTATGTGGTTTAATAAACATGTCTTTGCATATGAAACTATAGGTGTGTGTGTATATATATATATATATATATATATATATATATATATATATATATATATATATATATATATATATATATATATATATATATATATATATATATATATATACATATATATATATATATATATATATATATATATATATATATATATATATATATATATATATATATATAAGGGATTGTCCATAAATTAGGTAACGCAAAATTAAACTTATACACAAACAATTAAAAGTTTCCCTCGCAGAGCGTTTAACTAAACCAAGTATATAAACAACTCATAAGTCTAACGATGCGCAAAAGAGCTAAATGATCTCCTACTTATATTTTTTAAATAAGTATTGCATTATGTAATTTATAGACGATAATGTATAAAAAAAAACAACAGTTTCATACAAAAATAGTTATGCTGATTTAATGACAATTAAATAAGTTTTCTTTTCATTTCGTTTTCAAATCATTTCTTTTTTGCGGCTGCACCAGGTGTAAGCCCAGCACCAGCATTAAATTTAAAAAATATGATGTCGCCATCTTCAACAGTATATCCTTTACCTTGTTGCTTATATTTTCCAGCATTCTAAGAAACATTTTTTCATTTTAAATAAAATTGAAATAAAAATGAAAAGTGAATAATTTATAATATTAAAAAAAAAAAAAAGAAATTAAAGAATTTTTTAAAATCAACAAAAAAAACCTTCACAGCTGTTTCGCTTTTTAGTTCTTTAAAGTCATCAAACTTCATAACCTAAGAAAATAAAAATATTATTAATGCAAAACTTAATAAATACATTTTTTTAGCAGAAGACCAAAGATGCTCATGCCCAATATACATTGGGCATGAGCATCAATTACATGGCAAATTAGAAATTTCAAAAACTAAAACAAATTTAAATACCTCTGCCATTATAAAACCTTTCTCAAAATCAGTGTGAATTTTTCCAGCAGCAGCTGGTGCTTTAGTTCCTTTCTAAAATAGAATCATTCTTTGAAATTATAAAAAAACAAAACAAAAAAAAAACTTAAATATAAAAATTAAGAAACAAAAATATCTTTTATTATTAAAAATTATCTTAAAAAATTTTGTATTATTAATTATTGACGATATATTTTCCTTTGTCCTGAATTATTTACAGTTCAAAACGACTATTATTAAATGAGACAAAAAAGTCAAAAACATTTATATATAACGAATTTTTTTGTTTGTTTGTTTACATTTCATAAATTTTTACTTTAAATGTTTTTCATGTGTTTTAACTCTTATATACAATAGCAAAGTATTTTAGCATTGTATTACATGCAAAGTATTAAAGCATTGTACTATTTATCTTAATGTGGTAGAAGAATAGTAGTAGAGCTTTTGCTTACAAGATGTTTTAAGTTCAAATGTTATGTTTATGAAACAAACATCATACCTGCTGCACAGCAAGGTCATACCTGCTGCACAGCATCTTTGACAATTTTTTTTTTCAATTTTGGTTTTTTGAGGTAAAAGTAAAAATATCACTAAAAACTTATAAAACAAAATTTTAAACAAAAATGTTAAAAACCTGAATTGTCCATGCTTTAACTTCATCTTTACCAGCAGTAAAAAAATATTGCAATTGTAGTAGTTGGAAACCAGACTTGATGATTTTAGGTAGAATGCTTAAAAAAAATAAATTATTGAAAAACAAAAAATTTGCAAAAGTTAATGAATTTTTTGTTGATGACAACTACTATCTGATAAAACTTGCAGAAAAAAGCTTTTCATGGTTAAAAGCTTTTGAAAATTCGAAAGATTCTTGTTTTGTAATAGTACAAATTATCATTACTATATACAACTCATTAAACTTTTAAACTACAAAACAATTTCTAATACTTTGCACAGGTATAATTGTTGCCAAATTTAATAAATCAACTTGAAGCAATTCAAAACTTATTATAGAGGAAGAGCATAAACATATATGATTTTTAATTTGTTTAATAAAGCTGGCGACAAACGAAAACATCCCAGTAATAGAAAGTATATAATAGTAAATTTAGATATAACTATGGTTGACGTAGATCAAGCATTATGCTTAGCCAGAAATATTAAGAGAAAGGTTATACCCAGACTTATAAACACGTTAAACAGCAGATTTTGGCAATGATAAAGTAGATAACTGAAAGTCCTATCAGAAATTGAGTTTGACATTGAACTACAACATTCATTAAAGTAAAGCAAAAATAATTCCTTAAAGTAAAAACTAAATGGTCGAATATAATCAATTGCAGTTCCGCCGTAACTAGTCCAGAGCAGTAATCTGATGTAAGAGCTGAGAATTATGCTAATGTGAAATAACCTATTGTTTATCTTATATTTAACTTATACTAAGTGAATAAACAAATAGTTTTCACTTAGTATAAGTTATATATAAGATAAACAATAGGTTATTTCACATTAACAAATGAGTACACTATTTATGTAATTATTAAACTAAAGGAGAAAATATTTTTGTAACTAAAATAGATTTATAACATTTTATTTAAAATATGGTTTTTACTTTAAAATAAATTTTGTTTCTTTTTTGAAGTTTAACTATTTGATTAAAATAAAATTTTGCCAACCAGGTGTTTTTAAAATTTAAAAATTAAAATTTTGTCAAAATAAATTTTGACAAATAAATTTTGAAAAATAAATTTTGACAAATAAATTTTGAAAAATAAATTTTTTTAAATTCTTTATATTTATTTAAGAGCGACTTTCTGTCAGAATCAGACAGAGCTCAATAGTGACCCTCTTCAAAATTCCGAATTTTTCAATATGTTGTTGCTATTTATACTGGAAGTTTATATTTATACTGGACATTATATTTTAAGAGAAACATTTTTATAGAAACTATTTATACTGGACATTATATTTTAAGAGAAACATATTTATAGATCTTTTCGAATTTACATTAACACATTTTTTTTTCGATTTCTTTGAATTAACAACAAATAAAATCCCCATCGCCAACATAAACTTTATTGAAACTTTAAAATTTTTACAAGTGAAAATTATCTTGTACAAATAGATTTTGACATCTCTAAATAGACATCTTTTAAATGCTCTAAAGAGAACTAAAATAAAATTAATAACACAAGACTTGTAATTTTTTTTTCTTATTATTGTACAACCACCTTGAATTGATCTAAAACTTTGATGCACTTTGAGTAATTCAACATCACATCACGTGATGAGCTCTTAATGAATGAAGAGCTCCCCTAATATGAAAATTGTGGTTACGGCTACGATATATATATATATATATATATATATATATATATATATATATTTGAGGAAAAAAGTTAAGGAACGGCCCTCATTGCCTAGGCCTAGGAAAAGAGGCCCGTACCCTAACTTATATAGAGTTTACAACTTTTTTATAAAATTAATTTAAGGAGCCTCAGGAAAAGAAGAAGAAAAGATTACATTAGAGTAAGAGCTAGCTAAAAACTATCAAAAAGTGTCCAATATAAAAGCACAAAATTCAAGCAAAGATTTATTACTAATAATTATTTACATATATTTTACTAATAACATAGTAGACCAAAAGGGAGGGGGCTTGTCTTGTCTTTTGAAGAAATTGTTAATGCTCTTACTCTTGAGTAATAAATCTGAAAATTTTTTACAAAATCAAAACTATTTAATTCTAGCGTTTTAATTCATGCCCATTTTTGAACAGCTGTTTTAACATAATTGCAATAGGATTTAATATGCTGGATTGAGATTTACCAGGTCGGCAATTTTTAAAGCCTGTTTACACTGAAAATTTTTGTTTTTATTGATGACTGAAAGAATTATATTCTAATTTTTAAGGCCGATTTTCACTGATTTTTTTTTTTTTAGTTTTGAGATTTAAAGTTATTGCTTTCGCTCTTCCTCTAACACTAATTTTTATGGAAAAAAGTCAACTTCCAAATCAATTTAATTCAGCAAATATAACTGCACTTTATAAAAAAGGTGACAAGACTGATTCTGAAAATTATAGACCTATATCACTTCCATGTATTACTTTTAAAATACTACAAGACATAATTAAAAAAATAAGTTTGAAAAATATCTTTATGAAAATAATATTAAAGCTAATCAGCAGCATGGATTCGTTATAAATAGATCATGTACTACAAATTTACTTAAAACTAATTTACTTAACAACATCATGCTAATTAATATATGATTTTTAAAATCAGCTTCAATGGAAAAGTTCGGAAGCAGCATTTTTATGCATTTGTAATAAACTCCAATTTAATTTCTATTTGATCATTTGAAATTTCTTTGAAATTTTAATATTTAACGAAAAAATACAGATTTAAAAAAAAGTTCTTGTGGAAATAGAAAAAGTGGAAATGGTTCTAGTAGAAATAGAAATGCCAAAGCAAACTTCTTCATTCAGTTTTAACTACAATTAAACAAACTGTTACCTACAACATGAAGATAGAAAAAAATTTCAAAACATTAATGTGGGAGGAAAATTACAAGTTAACGTCAAAATTTTGGTTTCAAACACAAGCTATTGTAATGCTTATATGTTTTTAGGTAATCAACAGTAAAAGTACCTAAACTCACATAACAACAACATATCATCAAATTTTGGTAAAAAATCAAACACAAGCTATTGTAATGCTACTTTTAATTAATCAACAGTAATAAATAAAAATAAAAAATTGAAATAAAATCTCTAAATCACCTTTGAGTTTTATTCTCTTCACAGTATTTTGCAAATTCATCTGCAGGCATATCAAATGCCTATAAATCAAAAGTTTTATAAAAAATCAAACAGTGTAAGCAGTATTAGCAAAAAGGGAGTGTGAAAATACTCCTACGGGCATGGGGAAAAATGGAGAATAGCCCTAAAATTTATTGGTACTAGCTCTAAATATTAAAAAAAAAATTGAAATATAATAAAAATAGTTGTCAAATAAAGTTGTGGGTTTTGTGGCAACATATTTATTATAATATTATTAGATTTATATTTTATATATTTATGTAAATTTTACAATAAAATGAATAATAATAAATAAAAAATTAAAAAAAACAGTAAAAAACTCCCTATACAATGTAATAAACTTTAAATATACATTTTTTATTAATTAACTTTGCCATAATTTATTATTATCGAGATTAAAAAATACCTTTTGTTCAAAAACTCCACTAAATGGAATCAGTTGAGCACCAGGATCATTTTCATCTATCCATGCCTTAATCTTTGCCAGCCTTAAATTGACAGAAATAAATACTAACCCTTTCAATAAATCAACGTTTTAGAATAACTGACCAACTTTTAATGTTATAGAATGACTGACCAACTTTTTAAGTTTATTTTAAATAAAACAAGTTTTACACTTACCACTTGTTTTTTTTTCGAAAATAATCACTTTCAGATAAATTAACAAGATATAACATAGGTTTTGCTGTGATTGGAAGATGTTTATTTAAATATTCTATCTAAATAAATTAATAAAAAAACAACTTTTTGCAAAATTTTTTTTTTCTTTTATAAACCATAACTTTAAACTTGTAAAACTCGTTTTAACACAAAATGGAAAAAATAAATAAATAAAATAATTAAAGTTTTTTATTTATTTTTTATTTTTTTATTTGCATTCACTCCTAACAAGGCTGGAAGCAACCACTATTAAGTTGGGAGTTACTAGGAAAAAAAAGAACAGAGTTATAGAGCAAGGAAACGGTTGACAGAAGACTTGAAAAGTTGAAGGATGTATGAGTCAGGAAAACATGAAGATGGGAGAGAGTTCCAAAGGATTGAAGTGGGGGGAAAAAAAACTAGATGAATAAAAGTTTTTTAGAGCATGCAGGGACAGATACAGTAAACAAATGAGACTTAGCTGAATGACGAGTAAAACGAGAATGAATTTTAGTTGATGGAACTAGAGATGATAACTCCTTTGAGCAGTGACCATGATAGTATTTGTAGAAAAGAGAAAGAAATGCAACTTTACGACGATGGGAAAGAGGTTCAAGCTCTTTCCCATCGTCGTCCAACAACATTTACAATGTCCAGTCCAACAACATTTACAATGTGTTTTTGGACATTGTCATAAAAAGAAAGTGAATCGTTAGAAGAACCAGCCCAAATATGACAACAGTATTCCATACAGAAACGAATAAGAGATTTGTAGAGGTAGAGAATGGAATCAGAAGTAAGGAAATGGCGAGCACGATGAGGAGAAGCAACCTTAGCAGAAGCTAATTTAGCAATTGATTGTATATATGGTTTCCATGAAAGGTCAGTAGTAAGCCATAATCCAAGAAGACGTAAAGAGGAGGACTCAGTAAGAGGATTGTCATTCATTAATATAGGAATGTTGACCATATTACGGTAGTTGTTTGCAGTAAACAACTGGGTTTTGTTTGAGTTGAAATTCACAAGCCACTGTGAATCCCAATCTATTACTGAAGTGAGATTGGATTCAAGATCAGCTGCTTGTTCTAGGCGATCGAAAAGACTTTTTGTCAAGACAGGAGTATAAAGTCCTATATCATCAGCAAAAAGAGCTACTTTAGATAAAAGGTTGTCAGGAAGATCGTTTATGTAGATAAGAAACAAAACAGGGCCCAGGATGGAACCTTGGGGAACCCCAGAAGTTACTGAAAATAACGAAGAGTATTGGCCTTCAAGGATGACTTTAATAAACCGGTTAGAAAGAAATGATTTGATAATCTCAAAAACTTTCCCAGAAACACCATATGAAGCAAGCTTATGGAGAAGACCAGCATGCCAAACTTTGTCGAAAGCTTTAGATATGTCGAGAGCAATAGCCCTAGCCTCACCGCCTCCATCTAATGCACAATAAAATCTTTCAGTTACAGCAGTTAGCAAGTCAGCCGTAAAGCGAGAGGATCGAAAAGCGTATTGATTGTCTGACAGTAGTTTATTTGACTCAAGATGAGATGTGAGGAATTTGTTGATCAAAGACTCAAAGACCTTGCTAATAACAGAAAGAAGACTGATCGGACGATAATTAGAGGGGTCAGAATTTTCTCTAGAGTTTTTGAATATTGGAACCACAGATGCCATTTTCCAACAAGCAGGAAAACAAGACTCAGTCAAACACTTGTTAAACAGTTTAGAGAGAATTGAAGAAAGTTCTAGAGAACAATTCTGCAAGACTGTGACAGGAATGTTGTCTGGACCACAAGCTGTAGACAAGTTTAATTGAGATATGACTTTAGCAACAGAAGCCGGAGTGATTTGAATGTCTAACAATATGTTTGAATGTCTAACAATATGTTGTCTAACAATATTCAACCTGTTTGACTGGAATGGAAGGAAGAGAATGTCCATAAGATTCAAGAGTGGAATTAGAGGAAAAGTTCTTTGCAAATAGTTCTGCCTTATCCTTGGGAGAGGTAATAAGATCAGTCCCATGAATGAGAGATGGAATGTTAGATCAATCCTTGTTAATAATGCTGTTGAAAATTTTCCAAAAGTCTTTAGAGCCTAACTTCTGCGATAAGATGCGAGATTTAGTGAACTGAGAATAATGGAGTTATGCATCAGAAAGCACCTTTTTACATCGATTTCTTGCAATAATAAATAGCTGTTTGTTCTCAAGAGAGTTGTTCTTTTGAAAAAGATTAAAAAAATGATTATGATTGGATATAGCAGCCGCACAAGAAGGAGAAAACCATGGAGTAGAATAAGGCTTGACTTGAAACCGACGCGAAGGAATAAAAGCTTACATTCCAGCCTGAATCCAGGAGGTTACGTAGGAGCCGCATTTGTCAGCTGAGAGAGAAAAAACATCAGCCCAAGGACCATCACGAAGAAAATCACGAAAGGAATCCCAGTCAGCTTTAGGGTAGTAGTAGGTGGTGCGATGATAAGGTGAGCCCAAAAAAGAAGTACGAGAAGAAAGATTTATAGAGATCATTACATAGTCAGAACCACCTAAGGGAGAAAAGGGAGAAACTGAACATAAGCTAGGGTCAGAGACAAGACATAAGTCAAGGAGTGAAGGTAAATGATTAGGGTTGTCAGGAAAACGAGTCACAAAGTTAACTATCTGAGTAAGAGATTGAGAAACGCAGAAGTTAAGGGCTTTAGTGCCAGCAGGATCAGTGGTGTTAGAGCCAAGCCATTCAGTGTGATGGGCATTAAAATCACCAACAACAACAATATTGGCAGAGGGGTAAAGAGAGAGGGCATGGTCAATTTGATCAGAGATATCATCTAAAAGAGTGCAATCATGGGAAGAAGGAGAACGTTAAAGAACAAAGAGAAGGGTGATAGAGTGAAGAGGTGCTAGGCGAAAGCACATAAAAGAATGGTCAAAGTTAAACTTATATGAAATTATTTTGATATATAAACACTAAGACAAGAATTAAAAAAACTTACCTACATAAAAAATCTAAGTGTGATGTAAACATTTAGTAAAAAATCTAAGTGTGATGTAAACATTTAGTTTAATTTACCTCATTATTAGTCCAATCTTTAACAAACCGCAAGTGAACTTCATCTTCTACTAACAATTTAACGATTCTTGTACAAATAGTCTGCAAATAAAAAAAAAAATAATTCATAACAAGCTACTTGTTTTCAATTTATCACCACTTTTACAACAGTGAAAGTTTAAAAAAAAAAAAAAATGATAATAATAACATTAATATAAATCATAAAAATAATAGCAGTAATATTAATAACAAATATTATAACATACATGTATATTACATATATGTGTTATATACATGTATGTGTTGCAAGGCATTTTATTGCAATTATTTATTATTAACCTTTAAAATATTAATTTATTTTATAAGGTAAAAGTTTCATTAACATATTGACTGCAGTTTTAATATTATTTAAGATCAACAAGTTAAAAAAAAAAAGTTTAAAAAAACTTGAGTCAGAGCTTAGTTAAAACTTAAACTACTCAATGCAACTAAGGCATAGAACAAAGAAACTCGTAAAAAAAAAGCCGATAATTTAAAACAAATTCGTTTAGTTGTTAGTGGCAAACCGATTAACTTTTTTGTTATTGGTATTTAATTAATGCAACCAAAGAATTAGAATTGAAAGTAATTTATTTAAAAAGTTTACTGACTCTGTTTTTTTTTATTGTTTACACATTCTGAATGGAATAATTTATTATTTCAAGATGGCCGAATAAGTCCAGAGTATTTTTTAAAATGATACTAAATACTGAATACAATTTTTTAAATGGGGCTAAAAGTTATGATCATTTATGCAAAAACAACTTTGATAGAAAAATTAACACTACCATAGGTTATCTAAATCAAACATGACATTATTGTTAATTATACTCATTTAGGTGTGGTATTGAAAATAGTAAATTCAATTTTTCTTAAAAAATGTTATTCATGGATAATTTTCCTAAATAATGTCTGATTAGAAATGTCAAGGTACATTCATTGAAAACAAGCACCAATATGTGCTTTTATGAAAAAATCAAAATTATAGATATATCTATAGCCAAGCCCCAAGGTACTTTATGTTGAAAACTTTTAAATAAAACTACTTGATGATTCATTATAGTCATATTACTTTTACCAGGTTATAATAGTGGTTAAAATAATCTTTCCACATATACCAAAACTTACATATATTGTATTTAAAAAACTTATATTTTTGTTCGGATTAATGTTTAATTTAATATGTTTCTACTCAATGCAATACTCAATTTAAAAATTCAATGTTTTTTTTTATTTCAAGAAACATTAAATTTTTTCAAATCTAAAACAAGTTAAGATTTTTTTATTAAAGCAATTAAAAATAAAACAAAAAGAAATAAGACAAAAAGAAAACTCAAAACAACTTGTTAAATAGCTTACAGAAAAGTTATTAGAAAATTTAAACCCTGCAGCTTTCAAACAAATGATTTACTAATTATTAATTACTTTTTTAATTACTAATCTTTTTAAACAATTTGCTGTTAATAAAAATTTATGCCTACTGCTTTTATTTGAAATTATATAAACAATCATTCTATGATTTATTTAAAAAAACAATCAAAATCTAATAAAAAAACTATGGAAATTTCAAAACTAAAAAATCATTAACTTGTATATTCACTATATATTTACATAAAGTTTTATATACATATAAATTTTTATATACATATATAAAGTTTTATATACATATAAATTAAGTTTTATATACATATAAATTTTTTTTTTTTAAATTCTGTTTCTCTCCGAACAAGGCTGCAAGCAACCACTATTAAGTTGGGAGTTACTACAAAAAAAAGGCTAAAATTATAGAGCAAGGAAACGGTTGACAGAAAACTTAAAAAGTTAAAGGTTGTATAAGTCAGGAAAACATGAAAAAAGGAGAGAATTCTAAAACTAAATAAACAAAAGTTTTTAAAGCATGCAGGGACAGATACAGTAATAGAATGAGACTTTGCTTTGAGGAATAAGAGATTTGTAGAGATGGAATCGGGAGAGAAAAAAGCATGATAAAGAGAAGTAATCTTAGCAGATGCTATCAATTGTATATTGTGGTTTCTATTAAAGGTTTCTATTAAAGTTTCTATTAAAGCAAACAATAATCTAAGAAGACATAAAAGAGAACTCAGTGAGAGGGTTGACCCTGAGATTTGAAGCAAATAACTATTGCAATATTTGTTTCTAGACAAATATTGCAATATTTCTAAATAACTGAATTTTGTTGAAGTTAAAATTAACAAACCACTGTGAGTCCTAATCTGTTACAGAAGTGAAATCAGATTCAAGATCTGTTCTAGGCGATCGAAAAGAGAAGACTTTTTGTCAAGACAGGAGTATAAAGTTGAGTTATCAGCAAAAAGAGCTACTTTAGATCTAAGGGTGTCGAGAAGATGTAGATAAGAAACTAAACATGGCTAAGGATAGAGCCTTAAGGTACCCCAGAAATTAATGGAAACAAGCACTTGTTAAAAAGCTTAGAGAGAATTGAAGAGAGTTCTAGAGAACAAATTTTTAAGACTATGACAAGAATGTTGTCTGGACCACAAGCCATAAAAGATTTTAATCAAGATATGACTTTAGCAACATGTGAGTGATTTGAATGTCTAACATTGGGTTAACCTGTTTAATTGGAATGGAAGGAAAAGAATGGTCATAAGATTTGAGAGTCAAATTGGAAGAAAGGTTATTGCAAATATTTCTGCCTTATTAATGGGAGAGGTAATAAGATCAATCCCATAAATCCCATAGGCTATCTTTTGTTAACAACGCTGTTGAAGATTTTCTAAGTCTTAAGAACCTAACCTCTATGATTAGATACAAGATTTAGTGAACTGAGAATGGAGCTTAGCATGTGATAGCATCCTTTTTACATTGACTTCTTCCAATAATAAAAAGCTAGTTGTTCCCAAGAGAGTTGTTCTTTTGCAATAAATAAAAAAAATGATTACAATTAGATATAGCAAATGTACAAGAGGTCAAAAACCATATAGTAGAATGAGGCTAGATTTGGAACCAAAGAGAAGGAATAAAAGCTTCCATTCCTGCTTAAATTTAGGTTACATAGGAGGTGCATTTTTCAGCTGAGACGGAAAAGACAAGGACTCCCGAAAACCGGCAAAATCCAAGGACTGTCACAAAGTAAATCACAAAAAGAATCCCAGTCAGCTTTAGGGTAGTAGTAAGTAGTAGAATGGTCCGAAAAGAAAGTACGAAATAAATCAGTATAACAGATTTTAAGAAATCATTGCATGGTCAGAACCACCTGAAGTAGAAAAAGGAGAAACTGAACACAAGCTAGGATCAGAGACCAGACATAAACCAAGAAGTGAAAGTAAATGATTAGATTTGTCAGAAAAACAAGTCACAAAGTTAACTGCTTGAGTAAGAAATTGAGAAATGCAAAAGTTATAGGCTTTAGTGCCAGCAGGTTCAGTGGCGTTAGAGGCAAGACATTCAGTATGATAAGCGTTAAAGTCAATAATATCAACAATAATTGCAGAGGGGTAAACAAATGGGTGAATTAATGTGTATGTATACCTCCAAGCTAATCATGTGACTATTGGAGACTTTGCAAATGAAAGGATAGTACCCATTAACACAAAGATCAGAAGAAGGAATAGCAGAATATAAATTAGTCTCACTAATAGTAAGCAAATCTGGTTAATTTTGCAAGAGGTAAGATTTAACTTATGGACGGTTGCTTAGCAGACCACGAATATTAGTAAAAGATATATTAAAACAGTTAGGTGGTGGGGATGGTTTTTTATGTTTAATATTTTGGGTTACTTTTGGCATGATTTAAGTTTAAAGAGAACTTTACTCATTCATAGATAAAGCACCGCCTCCTAAGCAATGAGCTATGCAATTGTCTCAGTCCTGTTAATTAAATTGTAACATAGGGCTCCTTATGTTGCCTCAACAATGGGCACCAAAAACATTATAGGGATACCACCCATGCGCAACATAACACTGTTAATACTTTGATATTTTGTAACTGTTGATGGAATTAACCTCTCTATGAGCTACCACAGAGTTTAAGAAACCTTACTACCAGCTGGCCTGAGAACCATTAAACTTTAAGTTTTAGAGCTGTACCCTCATTGGGAAATAACAGGAAGAGTTGCATAGCCACTATCAAGGAGGCGGAAGCAAAAACCTATTAGAAGAATCAAGAAAATCCAGCATCCATCATTTATCATAGGCAGGAAACAATGTAACACAAGTTATAGATGAAGATGGGGTTTGAAGCTGGCTAGCAGAATTATTCTGCTTACCATAAAAATCTTTTCCTAAGAGGCCTTCTACAAATCAGTAGCTGGATGCAGTTAACATTTGCCCAAGGTGAGTATTTTTATAGAGACACCATCTCTAGCCTTTACTTAACCAAAATCCCTAAGGCAGGGGAATGGAGTTTAATTCTCCTAGCCGTTGCCTAAAAAAAGCACACTCTACAAGGCAGCAGGGTATGGGGCAGGTAGTACTGGGTTACATAATACCAGTAGCAGTGTGATCGTGATGATCTTGAACCTGCCCTACCTGGAATTAATTGCTACATTCTTTAAAATCAATTGTTACATTTTTTTAAATTCTTATTTGCTAATAATTGCTAATAATTTATTTGCCTAAGTGCTATATTCTTTAAAATATTATTGTTAACCAATTATATTTTACCTATGCTTTAAATAAATTATATTTCATATACGATCTTTTAAAAAAATGCTCTTATAACTAATTAATCATTAACTTTTTCATAACAGGATGCAAAAAATTAAATGCCAAATTTTCCGGACCTGACATCAGTTAAGTATGGCACTTTTGCGCCAACCATAGATCTTTCGAATTTCGGGTACTGCATCATGTATGTAACACATACATATATATAAGAAAATTAAAATAAGTAGCTGTTTACATTTGTGTGAAAACTATTGAATTTAAATTCAATTATTACAGAAACTAATAATAACAGTAATAATTTATATTAATAAAATTATTAAATAACTCATAAATAATAAAAAATATATTTAAAACAGATAATGAATTTATGAAAAGAACTGTTATTAATAAAAATATTAATATATAAAAAACAA